AAATACTATCAGCCTGCACCAAAAAGCATGAAATACTTCCATTGAAAAATCAATCAAACATTTTGTCTTAAACCTTTTCCTGTAGAGCTGTGACTCATGAAGACTTTTAATAAAACAGTAGTTGCATATGAATCAAATTTCTGAGTATAATATCTGTTTGTCACTGATTTTTTTATTACTAAAGATTAGAACATAAGATTCTAATACAGTGGTGCCTCGCATTACGATTGCTTCATTTAACGACGGAATCACATTATGATAAACTTTTTGCGATAGCTTTTGCGATCGCACGTTTAACGACGGAATCACATTATGATGAACTTTTTGCCATAGCTTTTGCGATCGCAAAACAATGTTTCCTATGGGGGAATTTCGCTTTGCGATGATCGGTTCCCTGCTTCGGGAACAGATTCTTCGCAAAACGATTTTCCAACAGCTGATCGGTGGTTTCAAAATGGCCACCGGGTAAATAAAATGGCTCCCCGCTGTGTTTAGGGACGGATTCCTTGCAAGACAGGCAGCGAAAATGGCCGCCCTATGGAGGATCTTTGCTGGATGTTGTGTTTTAAGCCCATCGGAACGCATTAAACAGTTTTTAATGCGTTTCTATGGGCTTTTTAATTTTGCTTTACGATGTTTTCGTTCTACAGCGATTTCGCTGGAACGAATTAACATCGTAATGCAAGGCACCACTGTAAATGGATGTTTAAAAACAATCTGAATTGTGTTTAAATTTGTGATGGCATCAGAATTAGCCATACGTAATGGTTTTTAGCTTATGTAGATACTTCTGTTTATGTTTAAAGTAACTGCTTAGATCTTTTCACCTTTATACATTATTTCCCCTTGATTCTTTGAATGTACAGGATGGTATAGTTTAGAAAATCGGAATAGAGCATAAACACATGTAGCAAGCCTGAAGATGATGCTTGAGACCAAGTGGGTTTTTACCTTTCTATTTTTCTGAATTTATAGGCAGATGGTTATTTTCACCTATTTCCTTGCTCATCACTTATTTCTCTAACTAGAAAAAGGAAGCATAAAGGCTGCTGGTAGACTAGCCTGTGTGGGAGTAATAGTGCAGGCTTCTTTATCTAAGTTTTTTCTTCCTTAACTATTCCTAATTAATTAGCAGTCTCCGTTCATTGCAAAAACATTTCCTTTTTTATACCTTTGTTTTCAGTCTACAGAGTTGTTATATTCAGTGGTCACAACCTCTGTAAGAGGCAGTAAATATCAAGTAATCCTGGTGCAAAACATGTGTTTTGCCTGCTCAGAGACTTAGATGTAACATCTGGCATTTCCAATTGAAAAGGTCTTGGGTTGTAAGCTGGGAAAGATCTATGCCTTTGGGGTAAGCCATCTAGAGTAGACTGTTCTAGGCCAAAGGGACAAAATTGTGTTGATTCTGTACAAATCAGCCTCAGCCTCTGATGTGTTTCAGACATTCTTCATTAGTTCTGGAAACTTATACTTCAGCTGCTGCCATTTCCTGTTGTTACTTGGCAAGCTTATCAAAATTCAAAGATGGGAACCTACAGGATGGAGAAGCAGGATACATGAAGATACAATATATGCAGGACATATTAAGATAAAATTTTCAAAAACAGAAATAAAAAGATTACTGCTCCAGTCTGTTCATTTTTGTTTTTGCTGAAATGGCAATTTTTAAATGAAAAATAGGATAATAAAGGAGAGAGATCTTCTAGAACAGGGGTCCCCAACTCCTGGTCCGTGACCTGGCAGTGGTCCGTGGCCTGGGCAGGATCGGACCGTGGACACAGATCTCCTACCCCCTGTGAGAGGCCCCCCCGTGAGCACCGCCATGCGCGTGAGCGTGCTTCGCCCCTGCAAGTGCACTTCATCCCCTACGGGAGCACCACACCCACGCGAACATGCCACACCCCTCCCAGTTCATGGTTGGGAAAAGGTTGGGGACCACTGTTCTAGAACACCTACCAGATGAACAGCTAAAACCAGAATGATAATAATAACATAATAATATTTGGAATGTTTGAAGTTGTTGTGGCTATTGTTATGTGCCATCAAGTCACTTCAGGCTTATGATGACCCCATGACTTCCCAAATATCTGGTAATTAACAGCCCTGCTCAGCTCTTGCAAACTCAAGGCTTCAATTTCCTTATGAAGTCAAAGCATCTTATGTTTGGTCTTCTTTTCCTGCTGCCTTCAACTTTTCCTAGCATTTTTGTCTTTTCTAGTAAGTCTTTTCTTGTGATGTATTCAAAGTACAGCAGCCTCAGCTTCATTATTTTCCCTTGTAAATAATTTTGGCAATCTTGGCTACAGTTTCCATACTCACCGGTTGCCACACTGCACTGGGATCCTTCATCATTGTTGTTGCGCCAATCCAAGCAGAAGCCTAGCTGGCACTTTCCTGCCTCCCCAAGCAGCCAACCATTCCAGCAAGGAGGTGGGACGGGGAGTCTCCCTGCTCAGATGATGAGCTTCTGTTGCTCAGGGAGGCCGGGTAGCACCGTGGGCTTTTTCCTGGATTGGCATGACGACGATGATGAAGGACTCTGGCACAGCATGGCAACTGGCGAGTGGACCGGCTGGTTTTGGGGGGAGGGAATGAGCCTCCATGGCACCTGTGGTGCTGCAATTTGTATTCGTATCTCCAGGGATACAAATATGAATAGCCCCTGTCTAGATTTATATTTCATATAAATTGTAAGTTGCTTGCAAAACAACCTTTTTGTGCAGGCAGGTACTGCAACACAAGACTGGATTTGTACTATGCGTTATGAGTGATGAAGTAACTTCTCTAAAATGGTTGAAGAATAGACTTCATTGAAAGATTAAAATTTTGTGTGGCAGGCTGATGTAAAACTCATGTAGTGGGGAGTAGGAATATGGTTTACAAATAGATATCGCAAAGTTATTGGAGCCAGAAGAGCATTTGATTTCCTTTTCTTCAGATTGAACATAGTGCATGAGAAATAAGAACACATTCTGAAGATCCTATAATTTTACCAAGTCTATATATGTGATGATTTAATAAATATTACTTTTTGGGAAGGGCATTATTAGCAGCTGCGTAAGTTGTGGTTAAGCAAGAC